ATATCCAGAAGTGGAATTGCTGGATAATATAGTTAGCTCTATTTTTAATTTTTTGAGGACTCTCCATACTGTTTTCCATAGTGGCTGCAACAATTTGCAATCCTACCAACAGTGTGTAAGGTTCAGTTTTTCCTACATCCTCACCAACAGCTGTTTGTTACCTATCTTTTTTGATGACAGCCATTCTAAAAAGTGTAAAGTGATATTCATTGTGGTTTTGATTTGCATTTTCCTGATGATTAGTGATGTTGGGCATGTTTTCACGTACCTGTTGTTCATCTGCATGTCTTCTTTGGAAAAATGTCTATTCACTTATACAAGTTCTTTATATTTTTTGGCTATTAACCCATTATCATGTATATAATTTGCAAATAATTTCTTCCACTCTGCAGGTTGCCTTTTCATTTTGCTGATGTTTCCTTTGCTGTGCAGACACTTATTTGCTGTAGTCCCACTTGTTTATTTTCTTTTGTTGCCTTTGCTTTTAGTTTCATATCCAAAAAATCATCACAAAGTTGGATGTTAAGGAGCTTACCCACTATATTTTCTTCTAGTTTTATGGTTTTAGGTCTTAATTCAAGGATTTAATCCTTTGAGTTGGTTTTTGTATATGGTGTCAGATGGGAGCCCAGTTTCAGTCTCTGCATGTGGCCGCCCAATGTTCCCAACACAATTTATTAAACAGACTTTCCCCATTTTATATTCTTGACTCCTTTGTCTAAACTGACCATACGCATGTCACTTTACTTCTGGGCTCTCTGCTCCACTGGTCTGTTTTTATGCCAATACCACACTGTTTTGATTACTGTAGCTTGGTAATATAGTTTGAAGTCAGGACGTGCCTCCAGCTTTGTTTTTCTTCTTGAAGACTACTTTGTCTATTTGGACACTTTAGTGGTTCCAAATTTTAGGACAGTTCATTTTATTTCTGTGAAAAATGTCATTGAAATTTTGATAGGGATTGCACTGAATCTACAGATTGCTTTGGGTAATATGGACATTTTAATAATATTAATTCTTCCAACCACGAGAATGAAGTATCTCCCATTTCTTTCTTCTTTGATTTCTTTCACCAATATCTTGTAGTTTTCACTGTACAAATCTTTCACTTCTTTACTTTAATTCCTAGATATTTTATACTTTTTGATGCAATTGTAAATGGGATTCTCTTCTAAATCTCTCTTTCTGATAGTTGACTGCTAATGTATAGGAACACAACAGATTTCTGTATACTGATTTTGTATCCAGCAACTTTACTGATTTTATTTAGTTCTAAAGTTTTTTGGTGGAGTCTTCAGGGTTTTTTTTTTTTATAAATAATATCATATAAGTAGTAAAACTGCCTCTATTTGCCAATGGCACTGACTTCTCTTAATTTATTTTTTCACTCATGGTAATAATATTTCTATGGAGACTAACTTTTCCATGTCTGCTTGGTCTCAACCAGACTTGATTTTCTTAAGTTTAAGGGGGGAAAACAATTACTCCAAAGGAATGGTTGGAACCACATATTCCTCATTCACTTCAATTTTTAAAACATCTAGGACTGCCTGTGCTGGCTGTGGAGTGGATCTGCTGGCCGTGGGGACTCGTCACACCACAGGGGTTGCATCCTGTGCACTCTCCCCTCTTGCTTAAACCAAGCGCTGGACCACCCGAACCTGGTGACCGTGCTGACTGTTCTCAGCGCCCTGGAACCACGCACGGGTCTCTCCCTGAAGTTGCATTCATGTTATGTTCTATCCTGTGGTGCAGCCTGACCATCCAGTAAATCGTGAAATGGTTCTTTTAAAAATAATCCAGAACAATTTAGAAGACTGAAATGTCACATTCAGGTATTCCCTGCTTTATGAAAGTTCATTTTACGCTGCTTTACTTTCATGAAACATCTGCATTAGCACCTGTTTATGCTAACTGAAAGAAATCCAAAGAGGATTTTCACTTTCATGAAAAAAAGGCAAAAAATAAAGATGGCGTCCAGTGTGCGTGTTGCAGCCAGCTGCTACAGAGGCAGCATGTTCCCTGAGTGACAGGAGTGACACCACCAACCTCCTTCCTTGGGAACTAGACTCAGCACCTTAGCACTGAGCTGCCATAGCTTTAAGCTGTGTCTGTGAGCATCTGTCCTTCATATCAACTTATTTTGTGCCTCAGTTAGCAAGGTGTGTCCTACGGTCACATCTAAGGCTTCTTTGCTGTACGCCATTTTGGCTGACAAAAGTTTCATAGTAGGCAAAACCTATGTTGACTTAAGGTTTGCGGTACACGAAGTGCTATTTAAAAAAAAAAGAAAAGATATAATTCTAAGGAAAAACTTTGAGATACATCTGTACTATGGATTTTCATGATATCACTAAAGGAATCTTCTTTTTTTAAACCATGGAAGTATTGTTTATCTGATGTGTTGCTGCTGGCTCGATGTTGGGATGTGCGCAAAACACTATATTCGCTGTATTTTTTACCATTTTGCTCTTTCTCTAAAAGAACAAAGTGAGTACATCTTGGTTATAAGAATGAAGTAAGATTAAATTACATCTAAGGCACTTAAAAGTGCATGTAAACTATAAGCTGTGTTACGCAAGTGCAAGTATTGTGTTTACTTACCACAAATCCATTTTATTACTACAGAGATCATTTGAATCTTGACTTTCATGAGGCTCAAATGTTGTAGACGTACTGATTTATTGCTCTGTGGGGTGCATCACATTTGAAAATCTGTTTCTTTTCTCTTGCTTATGGAACCTAAGTGTGAAAATACCAGAGAACATACTGCTTTCCTAATGTTGCCTGAAAAGTCACAAGCAAGCAGTGGTTCAGCAGTCATGAGAAGAGAGTATGTAAGATGACTGATTCCCTTCCTCTTTCGTTGTACGACCTTGAGTTGCACTGAGCCAGTAAAATATTCATATTCACATTTTACTGGAATTGAAAATTAATGAAATAATTATAAAACCTTTGTGAAGGATTAAGAGCAAGCTGCTAGAAAATACATTTTCCCTAATGGTAGCTTCAAATATTTTGACTGAATTAATGTTTAAAATAATTTTCTGGTATTTTTCATCCTGAGATAATGACTTTCAGCCCCAAATGGCAAAAAAGAGCCCCTAGGGTAGAATTTCAGGAAAGGCAGTCATTATGCTAAATTCTAAAACAATAAAACCCTCTAACTTTTAATTTGCAATGGCAACCAGAACCCATTATGCTGAAACACATGGATGTTAAACAGAAGCGTTCAGACAGAAATCCTGTGTGTGACAGAAGCAACAAGAGAACTCATAATGCACACTGGAGGCATCTGTGACTCCTCCCGATTTTTGTGGCTTTGGATTTAATATCACAGACCTAGTACTCCTATCTACATATTCATAATAGGGACCTGGGACATTTCCACAAACTACAATAATGTTCTAAAAAGAAAAAAAGAAAGAAATACAAAATGAAGTATTCAGATAAGGGTTATGCAGGTTTAAAACAAGACGACCATACCCTTATTTGCTTTCATTAGCTTACAGAGAGTAGAAAGAATCCAACAGAAGTAACAGAAACAACCAAATTAGCTCACAGATAATAAGAAACCAACAGAAGAATAAAGAAATATATACTATACAAATGCTAAGCAGCTGGTGTGGCCTATATAAATATTTGTTCTAAAAATATAGATTTTAAAGCAACATACAATGGTTAGAAATGGCTATGACTATGAATGAGTCAACTCTAAACTTGGAAGATAAACAATTCTAAACTTGTATGTTCCTAATAACAAAGCTCCAAAAAATAAAACGGCAAAAATTGACAGAATTACAGACAGAAATTAGAAAATCCACTAGTGTAGGAAATTTCACATCTCAGAATCTGAAAGATCAAGGAGAAGAAAAAAACAACGGTAAAATAGAGACAATTTGACCAATATAATTAACAAGTTTGGTCTAGTAAACACCCAACAATTGGAAAATATGCATCCTTTCAAGCACTAACACATTTACAAAAACTGACCATATTGTAGGTCACATGGCAAATCTCAACCTTTTGACATCACAGTCGAAGATGAATCTATTCTCTGACCACAATCCAATAAAGCAGAAATCGTAAGAATGGAACTTAAAAATCTGTTAGGAAATTTAAAAAAACCCACATACGTAAGTCAAAAAAGAAATCATGATGAAAAATGAAAAAATACTTAGAACTTAAAAATAAATATTTCCACAGCACTTTAAAATGACAAAACAAAATATCTGATCATTATAAAATAATCCCGTGAGCTATATAAAATTCATATTATTTCTGCTCAACAGCGTAACAGCAGAAATGTTGTATGTTATGCAATTACCAAAGTTGATTTTTATATATAAATAAAATACGTATCAAAAGTGATTTAGAAACTGGGAAATATAAGTGAAAGTGTTCACTACTAAAAATATTTAAGGGAAAACAAATCAACCAACTCTTTTAGAAACTATATTGAACAGCAGATAAAGTTAGAAGAAAGAATTTAGTATCGATGTTTAAAGCTCAAAAAGCCTATTAAATCATTTTGGTCTAAGAAGTCCCTTAGATCCTTATATAATACACACACACTCATATGGTAAAGTATTTATTGCTCATATGAGATGAGCAAACACAATCAGAAACCTCTGCACACGCAAGCGGAGTAACCGCACTTAGGAGCACATCCCTGCTCGCACCCAGCCCTGCTTTCTTGGTTACAGCAGCTGTTCAGTGGTGCACCGGCAATTACTAGCACTCCCCAAGCTGCCTACAGTAAGCACAAAGGGAATTTTTATTTTAGGCTCCCCTCCCCTTTCATGTGTGGGACATTTTTGGAAGGTTTTTTCTTCCCCATCCACTGGAAGAGAATTAAAATTCCAACATGCCTGAGTGTCAGCACGTGCCCTTTTTAGCCCAGGTACCAGAGGATGATTGATGAACCTGTCAAGCCTACAGTAGCAGACAGAGAGAGTTGGCAGAAGTTCAGTGTTATTGAAAGAAATCTCAAATACTTATTTCATCTCCTCTATTAACTTTAATCACATTTTCAACATGCAGCCAAGAATGAAGCTTTGACAGTGAGCCATAAATCGTCGCTCTCCGCACCAGAAGCACTGAGATAACGGGGCTGGGCATTCTCCTTCTTGTGCCTTTCCCTACTGAAGAGCAATAAAAAATACCTGAAAGATCGATCCACACCTTAAATCCGTGCGCCATAAATCTCTTGAAATCATTGCATTTAATTTTGCCCGGTATATGGCAAATAAAAAAATCAACTTCGTTCCTCAATTAGATTGCTAAACGTAGATTTTTAGAGATCACAGCGATGACAGGATTGGTAACATGTTTCGTCGTAATACCCCTGCTTATGAGAACAGACATTAAACACTAAAAAGGACTTACATTTACCATGGGTCATTTGCCATGTGGGCAAATACTTCTGGTTTATTCAGAGCCAGAGTCTTTACACGGTTCCAGAGGGACTCCTTGGCAGATTTTGCCGATTACGCACTGAACAGCTGAAACAAGTATAGACATTATTTATCTTACAAAGCTTACCCACGGCAAAACAGACACAAAAATGAGGTAAATACTATGGGCAAGAAGATTATGGTTCGTGGAAGGACTAAAAGTCAACCATATTTTTGGTAAGGTTTTCCCTGTAAGCACGTTTCAAAGGCTGAACTATTAAGTGCTGGGACGCCACAAGTGGAACACGTGTGTCTTGTCATCCAGTGAAACACGGCCTCGTGCTGCAATGCATAATCTGTGACTTCTCCCGGTGGGCCGGCTAAAGACCAGCGTGGCCCTCTCTGCATAGTGGAGCTAGGTTTTGACTTTCCTCTCTCTTAAATGTGACCTCTGCTCCCAGGTCAGTCGCTTCTGTCTCCAGTACTCCCGGAGTAACACCATATACATTCATCCAACAGCCAAGGAGGCTGTGACAGGCAGCCATCCTACCTGCCTTCTAAGCCACAATAATAAACTAACACTAACCCTACGTAAGAATGAGCTAAGGGACTTTTCTAAGAAGTCTCTACTTACAGTTCTCTGCAATCAATGCAAACGAAGACCAATCCCTATTAACCAAGAGCACATCTGGACCATTTCCTCCCACTCCTCCCCATTCAAATGGCCACACAGAGGCACCTAAACTGGACAGACGGGGCACTCTTCGGCAAAATGTCTGTTTATGACTCCGGCAGAAGTTTCTTTCTTCTGATAGACGAGTGCCACTGAACATACTGCTAAGCTTGAAGCAGAGGCTAAATGGTTCGGTGGGAGCAGTTTGGTTTTTTTTTGTCTGGTGGGGGGCGGTGGGGCGGGGGAAGAAGTCAATGCTTTCTCATTAGATGGTCATCGTTGTGGCTCAAGTCCTCAGAAGGTTGAAAATTTGGCCAGGTCCTTCTCCATCTCGGTGTACTGCTCTCTGAGTCTCCCCACGGCTCTCCTGTGCTCTTCGTCCACTGCGGCCTGTTTGCTATGCTGGCCTTTCATGAACTCCTCCCACTGGATTATCTGCTGTTTTTCACTAGCTAGTAAATGGTCATTATGAATCTGAGAAAAGAAAATGCGAAAGTCATGTGACATTTTCCAGGTAATTATTTTTCTATGCAGAAGAGACAAAAGATCATTTTATTTCTTGATAGTTGCTCACTGCAGTATGACAATCAGCTTGTAAGGCACAGTGGTAAAACTGCATTACAGTTAAGAATACAGCATATTAGAAACATCTAAGGCTTTTCTCACCATGACTGAACATGGGTATTCACGCTTCTGAAATGTCAAAAATGTCTAGTATCTTTAAATGATGAAATCAAGCATAATCCAAGGAAATTTTCATACCTCTATTTCTCCTCAAATTCCATTTAATTGCATATAATTTTAAAATTAAGTTTAAAGAATATATGCCAAAAAAGAAATTAAAATGCATGTTTTACATAAAATGTCTTGGGGACACATGGAAAAATCATTGATTCAATGGATGAGAACTCAAGAAATCTTTTTTGATTCAGTTCCAATCCTTAAAGCAAATAAACACCAAAAGCATCTGTGTCAAATAGCTCAGCTCCTCCTGAGATGTTCCTTAGTATTTCCACATGAGGATAAAATTTTTTTAAGTATCACAACAATAAAGATGAAACAATATATAAGTAAAAAGGCATAAATTTAATATAATTTTAATTACTATCTTTGATATGTACAAAGAACTAAATGCAAAAAGAAAGTATAAAAATAACTTTATCTCTGCCTCAAATATTGCATGGACATGTCTTCAGAAGTTTTGACACAGCCTAAATCCTATGAAACAAACACCATGACAGGAGCAAACCATAAAAACCTACAAAGCACCTGACGTCTGATGAGTCCCTGCTCTAACGAAGACAGGACACCTGTACACTGAGAACACAGGTGACTCAGGCACAGGCCACCGGGCAGAGAGCCGACAGGAAGAGGACAGAGCCCGTTCCCTCGCCGCCCACGACGCCCTGCTGCTCGGCTTCCCCCGGCGTCTGGGCAGTGAAGAGCTGGAAAAGCCAGCATGCGCTAAGAATCTGCGAAATGCGTATTTCTGCGGGTTGTTCTGTGTATCTTATCTGTTTCTAAGAGTCCAGTGTTCTCATTTTACAGATGAAGAAACTGAGGCTTAAGGACACCACATTCACTTTTCCAGGGTCACTCAGCTCTGAAGTTGTGGGCTCAACCCTAGGACTTGCTGACCCCAGACCTCTGCCTTTTCTATTATGAAGTGCACACTGGATCTTTCCAGGGAAGTTTTACACAGGTAGCTAAGTCTTTTGCAAGACAAAAAAAAAAAAAAAAGATGCTATTGCAAGAGTGTTTTTTCTGCCAATCTGATCTCAAGTTCCTTAGCCACAAGGCTTTCCAAGTAAAAAGAAGTTGAAGTGAATCTGAGGTTTCAGTGAAACATTCCCTTAAAATATGTCTGCAGACCTGAAGGATCTGAATAATTACAGTGGTGGGTAGAGAGGTTGGGGCAGGGTTTGCTGATCCAATAAATTTGGGAAACGGGTTAAATAAAATTCAAAACATGACTTTTTAACTTTTCAGCTTTCTGGACTGTAATTCTCCAAAAGATGAATAAACATGAAGAGTTCACTAAATCCTTTTCATGGAACTTTTGTAAAACTATTATGTTCTAAGAGAAAATCACAGCTCAGAGTAAAAAGAGAAGAAAAATGCACGTAAACTTCATCAAAATGATACTGTGCTTTAGCTGTCCATTAACTTCTAATAAACAGAGGATAATAACCCGGCATGCTCAGGTGTTGTTTAATAAATCAGTCTTTTCTTTTTAATTGAAACACCGTAATTGGCTCGGCTGGCCCTGTCAGTTGGGTCACAAGGCAGTGGCCCAAGTTACACTTCCCACCGGACAGCATGTTAACCCCCATGGCGCAATGGAGAAAAATAAAGATTTGGGAGGCGTATAACCTGGCTTCAAATTCTGATTCACTTGTTAGCAGTTGCATGACCGGAGCAAGTTAAATTTTCTTTAACTTTAAAATGAGGAAAATGATACTTCACATTCTCAAATAAATGTATTTATATTATAAGTTCCTAACCCAGTGCCTGCAGTGCTGAATAAAATGTAAATCTTATTATACACATATAAGCAATGCATCTAGAAGGCAGATCAAACTGCTCTTTATCCTTCTCAATATAAATTTTTTAATCTTTAATTTTAGTAATTTGATTTTAACAACGGCTTTTTATCATTCAGACGACAATCCCATTCCAACAGCCATCGCAGTCCTCCTGGACGGTCCCACCATTTACTGCTTGGCTCTGAGACTTTAATTAAGACACTGCCGAAGACCAGGGTCTCAACTTTGTAGTTTCAGAATATTATGACCAAAGATACATACGTGCAAGTAGCTTTTTCACATAAGATGTATCAATTCTTGGCCTCCTCATCCAGGTAAAAAGAAGCTGAATGCTGACTACTCCCTAACCCAGTTGAAAATCTAGTCTTGCTTTCACATCAGGAAGTTCTTGAAGTCACTCTATTTCATCTAACTTTTTCTTAGTCTCCCACTTTTAATAATAACTGCTTTGCAATTCTTGCAAAGAAAAAAAGGGAGGGGTAGCCTGTACATTCCTGTATTGACAACACTGTAATCTTTACATATAAACAAAACTCAGCTACCTGGAAATAATACCCACCTGAAACTTAGTTGAAACCTATATGGTAAGAATTTTAAGCCATCAAAAAAAAAAAAAAAAAAAAAAAACAAAACCCCAAAACTCCCCCAAACCCGAAACAAAACAACACACACACAACCCCCCCACCCAAACAACAACATAATTAACACAAAGTCCATTTGCACATATTGCAGTTTTCACGAAAAGCTCTTCTGATTCTGAATCTATTTGCCCTACTTCACACACAGTTCTAACCAGGTTAGTTAACTGGCTTCCAGAACTACCCCATGTTAAAAGTCACAAATTAGATAAAGAAAATGCTGGTAAATCAGACAGAAAAAGATGGCAGGCATCAGCCTTACAGTGAAAGAGAAGACAAAAACAAAAGCATAAAGACAGACAGTATCTGAGGGCCCAGGGAACAGAGAAACATGCGCCTTCTCTAATTCCGGGGGGACAACACCTTTCACCACAATGTAAAATTTTACATTTCTAATAATTCCTAATTCATAAAGAAAATTAACCTGTAACATTTAATATATTTTTTGTAAAAACCAGAGAAGTGTGGAATATATTTTTAAAGAATTCCATCCAAAATAGTTTAAGTTATAAAAGTCCTATACTTTAAGAGGATGAACATCCCAACTTCGTGGGAAACCTGGCTCTGTGGCATGACTCACGTTCTAAGACGTCTACACACGTGAGGATTTACTGTACATAACAGCAGAAAAATCCCAAATTAGCTCTATCTTAGGCATCACCCAGGAGGAAGCTAAACAGTATTCTAAGCCAGCACGGGTGCAGGGTATTTAGGGCCCACCTCTTCCCAACGTAAGGACATGCTCTCCCACCCTACAGAGCAGACGCACCGGGCAGCCGAGCGGCCCCTGGACCTGCAGCAGCAGAGACATCGTCTCCGGATGCAGAGCCCGCCCGCCCCCCGTGCCAGGTCCCACAGTAGCATGCCTCCCAGTTCACACACGAGGAAGTCATAAAAGCCAAACATCCCAAGGAATCTGTTTACAACCACAGAGAACTCTCAGAAATAAGGAAAAATCTTTCTTGAACACCGAGCCCATCACCGCCTGTGCACAGTAATTCTGCTCTTACGTTCAATGAACAGACTCTGGGTAAGATGTGGTCTGCAAAAAGGATTCCTCTAACAGTGAAACACGTCTGAGAAACAACGATCACATCCAGCTATAGTTACGTCCACACAGACTCACACAAGTCTAACAGAAGGAACACAATATAGCCACGGAACCATTTGCCATTTAAAGCTTAAAACTACCTACCGCTATGGTTAGCAGTTCAATTTCTAGCAGCTCCCAAAAAAGTACACACTGAATTACACATGTAAAAAGTTGACATTCATGGTAGTGGGAGTCATTAGAATCTTTCTGGTAAGCAATTTACAAAAACCTATCAAAATAGAAAGTGCAATTATCTATGGCTCAGGAATCCCTCTCATACGTGCATCTCCCCTTAATTTTTAGTAAAGAAGTATCCCAGAGCTTAGAAACAAACTCAAACGCAAGCATGCGGAGCGACAGCTCCCCCACCCTCAACACACACAAGTCCTTTCTCTCCCTTCTGTCCTTTTTCCTACTATTATCACTGGTTTGATGGGGACACTTACAGACTCTTTCCTACAAACATTTCTTTAACAACAACAAAATGGAGTCATGTGACGAGCGATGAGCTGAGGCTTTCTTTGTTGCAGAAGGATACGGCACACATCCTCGAGGCATCCCCGCAGCAGGGGCGTGGGAGAGCCCTGCCCCGGGTGCAGGCAGTAAGGGTGTGCATTGTCTGTACAGAATTTAAACCACTGAGACAAACAGCTGAAAGACTGTTCATTATTATCAGCAGGTGCTGGCAATACTGAGTGATGTTGGTGGTAAAGTACTGGCCCCAACATCCTCCTTCTTGGCCTCAGTTCTAAACAATTGCTGGGGTTACTGTTGAAGTTTAGTAAAGTATGTTTCAAATTAACATATTTTTACTGTTTACCCTTTAATAAAGTTTGCATTCTACTTTGAAGTTAATTTAAAGGACTTCTAGCTACACAGCCAGTCCTGGACAAAGTGAGTCGGCTACACTCGTTCATTTCCAAAGTAAATTCCTAACGGTTCAGTGTCACGTCAGCTTTCTTCACATGCTCGGCCCCTCTAGCCCCTGCGTTACTAAATAATTCTTGTGTTTAAAAAAACGAAAGAGCAACTGCAGAAATAAAATCTGAATTAGTTCAAATCTAGCATTCTACATTACGATTTTTTAAACTTAAATTTGTTTATGTTTTACACTGTACTTAAATTTTTTACACCATGGAGACATTGGGAGCCATTAATTAAGTGGTTTCCAAAGAATAAAGATAGTATTGCAATTTC